CACAAATCATGTACTGAAACTAACTTTATTTGGAACATAAAAGATCTATAAAACATATAGAACCATATAAAAACCTTTTCAGTCTTTCACATTAAATTCCAGTGAAATATATTTATGTTTGTGGTTGTAATGTGACAAAATATGGAAAAGTTCAAGGGGTATGAATACTTTTGCAAACCACTGTAAGAGGCAAACATTTTATAAGTTAAAATAAATACTAACTTGGTTTCCATCAGCTGGGTGTTCTCATGGATGAGGTGTTCAACCTCTCGACCCATACCTGAAAAAGACCGAACATATTATTAAGTTAAAACTTTGTAATCACCTCTTCACAACAAACATTCAAAAATCTTCAATAATTTTACGCCTTTCCAGTTTTACACTCTTACCTAAAAGGTTGTGGTCTGAGAGTCGTGCAGAGGATGACCAGAAAGTTTTATTAAACTTTGTTAAAATGTGTTGTTTGAACATTTCTGATCTACAGTATCACTGTCCTTCACAACGCTGCACTATTACTAATTTATTAAAACTAGAAGAAAAGCTACAACCCAAAATAAAAAATAAAAAAATAAAACAATAATCAGGGACACAMAGACAAGAAGTTATGTTGCCCATCCAGTGACACTGGATACATATTTTTTATTATTTTGTGGCCATTCAATAATACAAGATCATTTTGAGTAGTGTGTACAGCGAGACACACATTGTTGGAGTCAGATTTTTATTACGTTGTTTTTCTTTTGAACTGTTCAAAAGTAGCAACACCACAATTCTTCTTCTTCTTCTTCTTCTTCTTCTTCTTCTTCTTATTATTATTATTATTTGATGTCGTATGTTAAAATAAACAACACCCTAGGTGTGTGTCAGTTTCACTGTGATTTTTTACTGTGTTCCTCAACAACATAGGACTCTTTCTGCAGCAAAGGCACAGTGTGAGAGAGGAGCCTGTTCTGTGTTGAGCTTCCAAGAATGAAAATAAATATTTTTGGACAAAGACAAATGCAGTTGTTACCTGTGTCTTACAGCTGCAACATGCAATGCTAAGAATTACTTCATGTCTAACGTAAGTCATTTATTCCTATTTTTAAGTTACATTAATTCAAACTTGTCCACGTAAATAATAAACAGTTTCTGCATAGAAATGACTGCATTAATTATCTTGTGGCCACAACAGAATTACTGCATAAATTCTATGTCACCGGATGGGCTCTGTAAGGTTAACAGATCTGGGGGAAAATATCACTCATACACACCGGAAAACTCGTCTGTGAGGAAGTTGGATCCCAACAGGCAAAGAAAAGACATTTAAGGAGACTTAAGAGGGTAAAATATTTAGTGAAAAATAAAAAGAAATTAAAAATAAATAAAAGCCGAATCCTACGGCTTTCTTACCCAGGAGGTCAGCTCCTTCGTCCACGTCTCCTACGAGGTCATTTCCTGCAGATGACAGCTCCTCAAACAGAGAGTCAGTGTTACGGTTGAAAGCCAGATTCTCTATTCCACCTTTAGTTGGAGTGCTGAACAGACAGGTGAAGAACAGAGAAACAAAATCATCTCCAGCTTGTTTTTGATTTATTTCAAACTACCACGTTTATTTGTGTATAATACAATCTCATGTATAATACGACCCCCTCTATTTGTATCTTAAAAAGCATAAAAAATTTAATTCTCATACTACCTCTCATTTCATATGGACTTCAGGATTTTTCAGCCTTTGCAGTCTTTATATAAATATATCTCAGTAAAATTATCATTTGACTGTTGCATCAGTTTTTAATTTTATTTTAACAACGTATGTACTAAAAGGTACACAACAACAAATGTATAACTACAACAAAAACTATCAAATGTTCATTTGTTAACTGGTGTGATATAACAAACAGATGGAGCTGTGTGGTTCTAACAAGTGTGGATGGAGCTGAATCAAAAGCCTTCAAAATCAGGCTCACCATTATCTGTATCATTAAAAGTTTCTAGTATTCCTCCTCTGTAGTAAAGGCATCAGAATCTCACTCAACAACAATCTCATTCTCAGTGCCTCGCGAGCGCCCCCTCGGGTGGGGAAACTTTTTTCAGGTAGACCAACTTTTACAGAACACCAGTAGACGGCAGCCATTACAGACGACCATGTGTTTGTTGTTGTCCCAGGAGCGGCCCGGTCGCACATTAATATTATTAGTTCATTATGCAGGACTGCCTTTTTGTCTTTTTTTTTTTTTCACATCATGTTGCCTGCTTGGATCTGTTACTATCTCGCTCGGAGGCACAAAGGAGTTTTAGAGGTAAGCTCGCTTCAACCGCTTTTATGACAGGGTTTCATTTCTGGACTCAGGGATTTTGTAAATGAGGCCGATATTTCAGTTAAAATACATCAGCAAAAATATTTATCCGAGTATCCAACTTTGTGCATGATTTTATGGATTAAATTTTACGTATTATACTCGAATAAATACAGTAACCGACATGAAACAAAAGCCAAACTGAATACAGAAAAATGGAGAAGTGACACCTAATTAAAAACCTTAAAGGGATTTTCAAGCCATTTTGAAGTGGTGTTTTGGGTAAAAGCTTTAACAACAAACATCTTACCAGTTGTAGACAACTATTAGAACAGCCTCTGGTAAGAGAAATAGTTTAAGCCTAACAGGACAATTTCTTAAAACTGAGGCTGTTCAAGAAGCTGTCTACAACAGGTAAAATATTTTACATGACTTTTCTACAAAGCTCTACTTAAAAATGGCTGGAACGTATTTTGTGCTTGAAACTGATCTTTTATCACAACTATTGTCTTATTTTAGGCTAATCAATTACCTGAAAATAAAATCTGTAAAACCAAAACCAATTAAAAAAACACATAWACCAAGTTGTTGATAATCTATCAAGCTAAACATTCTTGTTTTTTACTCAAAGTCAGTCTCATACCTAGTTCCTCTGCAGCCATCAAAGTCCATGTCCAGCTCAGGGGTGGACTCAATGATAGCCTGAACTTCAGACTTCTCCATGCTTTCTGCTCCATCTAACAACACACAATTTTTGTTTTTAAAGGACCACCTGAGTAATTAAGAAGTGATTTAAGAATCAAAAGAAAGTGTTTTTAATCAAAGTTTAAAGTTAAATACTGACGGAGTGTAAACACAAGCTGAAAATGTATGTGTCACCTTCAGTTTTCAGTGCCGTCGTCAAAGCTTTCTGGCTGAACAGTTGTTCTTCCTGCTCTGCTCCTACATTCTTACTGCCTTCTGGTTTGCCACTCTTCCAGTCCAGGTTCTTGCTGAGCCCACCTGAAGTTACCTCTTCCTGTAGTGGTGTGTCTCCAGACTCCACGACAACGTCAGAAAGAGCTGCAGATGGCGGTGCAGAAGTGGGGAGCCCTTGTCCAAGACTGGGYGTGTCATGAGGAGACCATGGTGCKCTGGGCTGAGTATTACTGCTATGTGTAGAAGTGTTGGATTTAGAGGTACCACCCTGAGAGGACATGGAAGTGTTGGTGTTGGATTGTCCGTTACTTGAAGACACAGGCATCCCAGTTTTAGACAGATTTCCCTGATTAGTGGGTGTGCTGGGTTTGGAGCTTCCACGGTTTGCAAACACCAGCTCATCCTGAGGATGAAAGGAAAACAGAAGATAAAGTCAGGAAACAATAAAGAATGAAACTTTGTTCAGTTTTCACCTCTTCAGTCAATCAAACAATGAAAAGCCATACACATTATGCCAAATTAGCCCTAAAACACAAAGTGATACAGCGGGTCACAAAGATATTTGTAGTGTGTTTAATGCAGAAAGATAAACCTCTGTGTCAGCCTCAAACCACTGGGAGACTAACTGATTTCTCCCAAACATTTCTCCATCTCCTCTCTATCCCAGAGACAAAAGGTGAAGGTCAAATTAGTTCTGACCAGACTGAACAGGGTCCAAGTTTTCATCAAAACAAACCAAGAGGCAAATAATAATATAGATCCAGGATCATTTATGGTAGGTAGACAATCTGTTCTCGATCTGTTAAATTTCAAGGCAAATATACATATTTTGTCTGCTTAGATATGCTGTCTGCCAAAACGGGTTTCAGAACACGTACGATGCCACTACCACACGTTGCACAAAGCTAAATATGAGAAGTTTATTGAAGTTGCTAGTGTATAAACAACAACTTTTTACAAGAGCCACAATCACGTAGGAGTCAGCATCCTAGGTCAGTGTATTTAACCATGGTCCTCAAGGCACACTGTCCTGCATGTTTAGATGTTTCTCTGCTTCAGAACACCTTATTTCAAGTGATAACTGATTAACAGACTCTTGTTGACAAGTCGGGTTCTCTGCAGACAAGTGGGGACGAGTGGGCGTGTCACAAGGAAAGGCGATTCTAAAGCGACCCACCTGATTTGACGGACTTTTTTTAAAGGGACACACCTGACTGGACAAGCAAAAAAGRGACGATACCGTACGGCACCCCCTCATTGGACAAGAAAAAAAGGGGCGTTACTGTAAGGCACCACTTTTTCTGGGGAACCCTCCTTGGGTCACATTTCTCTTGGTTAACCTTAGTGTTGGGGTCAGGGTCAKGCTATAAAGAGATCAAGCAGGATCTAGGATACCGTCATGTAGGCCTCGTAGCCCACAGTGTTTATGCTTTTGACATGTCCACTCTTGTGACACGCCCACTTTGATTCTGCAGATAACCCCTTCTCCTTGTTGAACTGCAATCATCTGAATCAGGTGTGTTGGGGGG